TTATCTCAACGTACGTGAAGTACCATCGTCTTTATGTTAGTCTGCGAGCAGGCTCCTATAAGTGGGGCCCTTATTATTGACGTTTTAGCACGAGCCCGCGTTAAATTATGAGGTCTCGAGCTTCACGAGTCGGCAAAAAGTCTGCCAGGGGTCTGGTGCTGATAATCACCAGACCTCCAGCAAACCTCTCCCCGAGTGGTCACAAATCTTCTCGCGGGGGGAGAAACGTGTGTCCTGCAGCACTAATAATAGGGGCCTGATCGCAGGCTATCTTTCTGTTTTTAACTATTTTCGGCCAACAGAATTAAACTGTACCAAACTTAACGTTACTTCGTTTCGTGTAGGCATAACCTTCGAGGTTAAAAAAGGTTTGGAACTTCTATGCCCTATTTTTTCGACATGGTTCACTCACGAGAACGTTTTTTTTTCACTTCTTGTCAGTCGCACATATACTACCGGGCTTATTCTTTTTTTTCCTCAATGTAATTCATTTTCTATCTAAAGTGAACAACTCAGCAAGAAGCACCAACCTTTGGTGAACTCACCGACGAGCGCGCGTTTCATTTCTTGCTCGACCGGAAAAGTCTTTCCTTATTGAAAATTCTGTAGCAAATTTTTACATATTGGTAATCTTCTCTTGTCAAAAATACAACGCGAATATCGCTATTTGGCTTCTTCGTAATCCACTCTCAGAAGTCCTTGAGGGTGTGCGCGTATTCAATGACGACCCCATTTTCATCAAACCAAATAACTGACGTAATTTATCTCAGGTGCTTTTTCCTCGGGCTCAGATCCCCGCGGTTGCCATTGATTTGGAGGTAGTTCGGGCTCCGGGGTGAGTGTGTTTCGTGACGATCGTAAAGATTCGGGTCTCCGGAAACCGTCTGAGTCCTGCGAAGGAGGCCTAACGAGTTGTCCATGAATATTGATGTACGGCTATAACATAGAAGAAAAAGTAACGGAAGTATTAGAAAACTCTCGTAAAATGTTTGAGAAGAGTGAATTTTCTGCCTTCTATGTCTCATAACTGATCTTGCTTTTTTTTTCCTTTAGATTCCCATTGCATTATTTGTCACGCAAAGCAGAGTTCCTGAGAGAATAAAGCAACAAAACAACACACGCTTAACCACACGAATAGAGCAGTTTTCGATTGAGTATCGAAAGTGAACCTACATTGCTTTGGTTTTGCCTTACTTCGCTCTGTGATTGGTCCAAAAAAAGTCGAGCCGCCGTCTCAACCAATCAAATGAAAAACTGACCAATTCCAACTTGCTTAGTCAACACTCAATTAATAACCTGCTCGAAAATGACCTGAATAAGGTGAAAACCAAGAAATGCACACACTGGCCACATCTATCGATGTTCGGTTTTACCAAAGCAGAAACCCCTTGAGACTCAAGGGTAGTGGAGGTATCATTTCATACTCTCGTTTTAGAGGATCTTTAAAATAACTTCGTTAATTGTTGTTGTTGTTGTTTTTTTAAGAACTGCAGAATATCACCCTGCACAGACCCTCCCGGTATGTACCTGTCTCTGTCGTCCCGGTGAAGAGGGTGGATGGTAAGGTGCAGGTCCGTCCGAGTCGTAGCGAGGATCCTGGCCGTCTGGTGGATAAACAATGTCGCGTAAAAACATAGGCGGCTCTGGAAGGCCATCATCTACATTGAAAAAAAAAACACCATTAGGAAAGAAACAAAGAAGTAAAACAACAACAACCAAATGACTAACAAAAATAGAAATTAACAGGCCGAGTGAACGATGACGAGTCAATTCAAGATTGAAACGCTTTACATCGTGCAACGTTTATCTCCAAATGGAGACAAGGGTCCAGGGTCCAGGGTCCAGGGGCCCCTCTGAAAACCGCTGTGGCGATTATTATTATTATTATTATTATTATTATTATTATTATTATTATTATTATTATTACAAGGCTGGTCACTTTCAGGGGTCAAAGGGTTAAATATGGAAAATATTAAAAAAACTCTAGAAAAGTTTCACAAGATCTATAAGCTATGAAGTATGTTACATTCTAAATCCATTTTTAACTTTACAATCTAAATTTTCCTGCACTGTTTTGTTTTGTTTTTGTTTTCTTGGCTGCTGTTAGTTACATATTTAATTCAAATCAGTATTGGAAGATATCATCCATGTCATAACAATTTTGTAATACCTAGAAAATAATACACAGTATCATTCCCACTCATTCAGAACAATTTTGTAATACCTATAAAATAATACACAGTATCATTCTCTCTCATTCATAACAATTTTGTAATACTTATAAAATTATACACGGTACCATTCCCACTCATTCAAAGTCGGCTGTGAGACGACAACCTTACCGGGATAGTTTTGATAATTATTAGAAATCGGTCGGTTGCTAGGCAACATAGCCATAGGGGGTGGTAGGTCCGGGGGTCCCTCATTCGGTGGAAGATTGGACGGATCATCCAAATCTAAGTCGTCGCCATCATGCACTGGGAGGTCCTCGAATGATCTGTCCTCAGGGGTGTACTGTGGGGGAGGCCCTGTGTGGTTGGAACAAAAGAAAACTATATCAGCTTGAGGGCGTATTTCGATTACCTTCAATAGTAGTGGCCAATCAGAACGAAGAAAAACATCGCAAGACCCTGTGACATCTTAAAGTGAAAGCACTTTAAAAAGGGACAAACGCGAGCAACCAAATCGTGATCTGAAGCAGTCTTAGATCTTGTTGATTGAGGAGGGTGGGGAAGGTAAGACTCTGGAATCTGACTCTGGAAAATGAAAATTACAACCCTCATCAACTTTTTCAAAACATCCTGTCACCCCCCCCCCCCCTCATATTGAGTTGTTGTCAGGGAGGAGAGGGAAATGTTTCCGCTGCTGTGACTAGAACTGTAACCAAACGCACTCCAAGATTACTTTCAGCGCGTGCTTGAAACTGGCTCACATGAAGGCAAGGGCAAGACCATCTGTTCAGAATTGAACGAAGAATGCAGTCTGACGAGAAATACTCAGTACTCATGTTCGAGAATTTTGTCGCAGTTTTTCTATGCTGCTCTTCGCTCACTCTTCAAAGGCACGATTTTTTTACCTGGGTAAAAGCTAGAAACCAAGGTTTGAACATTAATGCAAACACTTCTGTCATAAGCAAAAATATCTTTATCACGAATGACAGTTCATCTCGAAAACGAAAAAGATCAATTTAATTTTTTTTGGGTGTGTGTCAACCCGTAGTTTCCAGAAATCTTGAAACAAAAAATTAAGAATTAAGTTGCCTTCATTTTCTTGAAGATTTCAGGAATTTATGAATCTTATCAAATACGAGTAACTAAGAAGTTAAGTTATTGTTTTAAGTTTGTACTAACATCCTTTATAAGAGTCTCTCCAGTATGGAGGCCCATACATCTGTGGCGGTGGGCGAAGCCTCTCTGTTGAACGACAGCATGTTTTCAAATTTAGTTTTACATTTTTAAATAGTTTTACTTAAGGTTTAGGTGAGTGTTAAAACGTTATATTACGCTGATTAAAAGTACCATCATCTAAGAGCTGGCACTAATCTCTAATTGGCTCATAACACTCGGAAACTGTCCGAGTATTTCATGAAGATAGACCGATGATATCACATTCCGAAGGAGCTGTATCACGTAATATGCTTTTCTTGAGTTTTACCATGAAGGTGCCAATCGTCAACAAAAATTTTCGATTTACTTTAACAGCGTTAGTTTAGCATCTTACACTCTACTTTAAGGTGGTGAAACGTGCGAGCAAATTGTTATTACGGCTATTACAATTTTAAAGAAATGTTTTTGTCCCAGAAGTGCAAGTGGAAAAAATTAAACCTTAGAGTTCAGCGAATTACTATTCATGATAATCACAGAGTCGTTTCGTGTTAATTGAATTGTAGTACATTAATGAAACATGGTTAAAGGCTTCCCCCAATAAGTTTGTTTTTCAATCAAAAGAGTAGTTATCCGCCCAACTGAATTAAGGTGAGTCATTTATACATTCATCACATGCAAAACTTTTAAGTGTTAATCAGCAGATTATTTCTCACAAAACTTTTGAAATAATATTTCTGTAAACCCATGATATTAGGTAGTTTTTTTTAATGATATTGTTACTCCGCAAGCTGATAAGTTTGATAATCATGTTATTGTGTTAAAAAAAAACCTCCTACCAATCGCTGGCTCATTTGGTTCACGGCGAGGTCTCTTAGGTTTGGGTCTCTTCTGTGGCAAAGCATATGGCACCGTAGGATCAAGGGGCCCATTTGCAGGACGACCACTCGGGTTAGCCCCCATTGGCAACACCCTCGGCCCCATAACACGTCCGTCCCGGTCCACTGCGGCGTAACCTGGCTCTTCAATGGATTCTACATGTCTGTTGACCAAACCAAATCAAATAGTAAAGAACAAAAATTAAAATGATGCAAAATATTTTACGAACAAAAGGGGTAACATTTCATTGAGTAATTCTGAAAGGTGAGGGCATATACCTAAAATAAATTTTCTGCGGCTTCTTAACCATGTATAAAGAACCTTACCAATCGACATCGGTTCACCTAAGACCCAGACCCTTTCACGGATCCTAATCCTAAGCTAAACCCTGAGCAATTCTCTAACATCAAACTTCAGACAATGACAAGGCCGTATATTACTACGTACCGAACCTAAAGTATTTAAAACTTTCTAGTCTCGTGTGGCATTTTTAGGCTCTGGTGTAAAGAAAAGAAATTCCTGTATTCGCTGAATCAAAGTTTAGACCAGCCCTACAAAAAATTCCTGAATTCATCCCTGTTCATTCCCTTTGGTTCCGAAAAATACAGAGCACTTTAAAGTCAACCTAACGAAGAACTACGCTTCAAAAAAAAAAAAAGGACAAATTTTTACCTCCGCCAAGAAAAACCACATACACAAATTTACTCAACACGTTTTGCGATTCCAACGAATAACTGAAAAAAATTGACTTGAATCAAGCACTAACCTTACTCTCGGGGGAGGGGGTGCAGACCTCTGAGGCGTAAACCGTTGTTCTCCATCACTCGAGTCTGTGGGCTCATCAGCTGGTCGAGCTTGTCTTGGTCGGCGGCCTGAATGTCTTCCCTGCCCTGGCCCTGTGAGGTCCCCTGTTGACTTCCTGGTTTTGGGTTTCCTTCCTGACTGCCGCATTGCCTCTTCAAACGAAGGTGGTTCGTGGTACGGAGGCAGTGTGCTGAAATCTCTCTGGGGTCCCCTAGCCGAGTATGCTGAGTTCGCATCCAGTTCACCAGTGCTTTGCGCCAAACGGCCGTTTCTCACCATGCGGGAGCCTGGATTGAGTAACATTTCAGGCTGCTGTCGAACAGAATCTAACAGAAGAAAAGAACTTTTATTCTAAACTTTTTTTTTTCGTTGTTTGGTTGCATGAATCGTGTACTTTTCCCGAGCAGCTTAGCTGTGGATAGTCAGCGAAGTTCGTCGCACAAGGTACAGCGCGTTACCATCAATTTTCTTTCCATCAATTTTTCTTTCATGGATGTTCTTTTCACTTTTTTCCTTTTTTTTTGGCGACCGACTTTGCCGAACAGAAAGGACTGATCGTCAGTTTACTGTAAATATGTTTCTTATGTACGAATGAAAAAAGAAAATAGCTGCACATCTGTGCACACAAAGTCGAAAGCACACAAGCTATTAAAAGCCTTTACCTTGTGACAGGTATCCATAGTTTACACCCTGACTGGAGTCTGGTTTTTTCTTTTTTGCCTCGGTTGAGTTCACAGACTGCATTGACGCAGCTGCGAGGAACGGATCATCTTCCACCGACTCCATACCGTAGCTACGCCTGTTTTCCAGGACACGTGTCACATCGGGGCCACCCACAACATAGCTGAGTAAGGTAAAGATGACACACTTGGCGTGAGAACATTGCCGCAACAGTTCTAACATGTGTCAACTTTTTCGGTATAAGTAATCAGGCACGTGCGTGTGTGTTTTGCTTTAAAACTTTATGATTAAACAAAGCCTTTTGTTCAAAGCTTGCAAAAGAGCAAATTCAATATCGTTTTCGACACAGAACGCTCATGGACATAGCATAATAGACACAACACCCGCCTCATATGAATCTGGTTCACGAGCTCAGTTCAATGTAGGGAGAGCATTTGTCAGCCTGCGTAAAGTAACAGACAGCGATTCGAACCCTCATCAGGGGCTTATTCCATCCTCCATGTGTACTACAGCACCTATATACCTGTAAAACGCGTGTACTTCGTGCGTGGGAATGACACGCGTTTCAAGTGCGTATAGTACCACGTGTGCGGTCGCAAAATTAAACGCGTATAATAGAACTGATCAAGCGTTCCTCCGACGGAAAAAAAACTTTAAGATTTATCAATCAAATATTCAAATACATAAATATTGGAAGAGCCCTCTTACTTTGTAGTTTGAGACATGGGAACATTATTAGCTGCAACAGAAAGAGAGAAAGGAAAAATTAATCAAATTACATTTTATCATTTCAATAGAGAGTTTCATATACGTTCTGGAAAATATTAGAGTAAATAACTTGTAAATGGAGCCTCACAGAGTGTGGTCCCATAAACCTTCTGATGCTACAAACAGACCGCGTAGTTGCTTTTGGATAAAAATTCGTACATAAAGCTTGTTAAGGAGTTGCAATAACAGCTGGGTAGCGGGTACAATTACTCACTGACTACCCACTCGCGGCCTTTTAATAAGCGTCATTCAACCGCGAGCTTAAGGTAATTGTAAATTCTCGTCAAATTGGTTGACATTTACGAAATACGAAGTAACAAACTAGAATAAACCTTATAATGCAGGAAAATACCACTGAAACAGTCTTAACCTTCAAAATTTCCCAAGGGAGCCCAGATCTCTCTCGGAAGAGGAAGCCCTCCAGGCGCTCAAAACTACCCGCCTACCATTCAAAAATACCCACTTGCATCCAATTTTTTTTCTTGTATAACCACTGTCCACACAGTCTTATACTTACCCCCGTGTTCCTTCTTCCGACGCTTAAAGCAACACAATGCAAGGACGACAATGGCCAGGAGAAGAAGACCAGCAACTAAAACAATAACAGCAATCATCCAGTCCTTTAACGGTTCACCATCATCTCTTGCTCCTGGAAGAGGGCCAGCCGGAACTAAAAAACATTGACAAACGCATAAAAAATCTTTCTTGAGGACAGAATGTGTATAGTAAATCGCATGCAATCTTCGCACAAAGAGTAACTCACAGTTTGTACCTTTTTGAGAAACAAACTTCAACGACTTTTCCAGAACTCAGATTTATTTTTTATTCCAAATTTCACCTTGAATCCTTTCATTCCCAAGATTTCCGAATCAATTACCCATACGGTCTTTACATATTTTCTACAACGTGAATTCTGAAAACTTTATTGCTTGAGTTAAGCAGATTTCCAGGACTTTCCAGGATCTGAAGTCTTTTTCCAAGCATTTCTAGCCCTAGAAAATGTCACAATAAAATTTAAGGACTTTCCAGGTTTTCCAGAACTCATAGGAACATTGCGATTTACGGGCAGGCATGACTGATATTTTAAGCCGGCTTCTAATTCAAAAGAAGCCTCCTAGTCAGAGCTGGTGTTACCTCTCCCCAACTCGTTTCCAATCTTCCCAAGGGCGGAGAAACGCGAGTTCTGCAGCTCTCATAATGAGGACCTGCTCGCACGCTAATCAAATTGTACCACGTACCTGTATCACTATAAACATAAGCCGGAGCAGACTCTCCTGGTCGTCTCATATCCACTCTAAATCTGTATGAGCTGTCAGCTTTCAGATCGCTCACTTTAAACTCTGATACAGATCTGTTCAGCTGAGAGGCTCCCTCGACAAGCTCCCAAGAGCCCTCTCCTCCCTGCTGAATCTGAAGAGTCGCAATTGTTACTTGGTCATCTGCTATCGTCCATTCCACCAGTATGACAGAGGCGTCGTCTGATGCTCTCAAAGCTTTGACTAAAAAGAAAGGACAAAAGAAGAATAATTTAGCTGACGTGTAGCTATATCCTCCCTCCCCCCTGCAAGGTAAGGAAAATTCTACTACGAGCTATGAAGGCGTAAATAGTCTACATGCAAGCCAAGTTTCCCTGCTAGCTGTAGCAGGAAGGTGTCAATGGCGTCAACAGTTAGCCATAAAACGACCAAATTTTTAAACCTTTAGACGTACAATTTCACAGATTACAATCGCTAAAGCTAAAATATTTTCCAAACATACCAGTTCCTCTGTCCGGAGGTATCTGGGACTCTAAAAACGAACAAACGAAAAACGATAAGAACAGCAGTCATTGCCATCACGTAATATTTCATAACATTGCCAAACATTCTATGATTTACTTTTTTCATATATTTTTTTTGTTACCTGCTGTTTTATACTCCTTTGGGTCTGACGGTTGGCTTTGGCCAAGTTTATTAGAAGCTTGAACGGTAAATTCATACACTGTTTCCGGGTAAAGTCCGGGTATAGTGTGCATGTTGTTATCTGGGTGACCAACAAACTGTTCCACAAAGTCTCGGTTGCTTTGTTTGACGCGATAATGGATTGTGAACTCTTGATCATATCCTCCACTGTATCCAGGTGTCCAGCTCACATTAACGCTAACAGTTTTCGAATTTTGGTCTTGAAACGACTTCACGTCCACATTAATTGGTTTATCTGGAATCCCTGCCAAGAAAATGACTCTGTTTCAGTTTTAAAAGATATTTTAGGGTGGTGAAAATCTATTCATTAGACCGCTTGTAAGCAAGAGTCCCACTTAGTTTACACTTGAAATTCTCCTTCACTGGCGATGGAAGGCTGGGGTGGTGATTTGCTGTCTTCAAAGTGCTGCATCACACTCTAGTGAAAAACCTCCCAGGATCTTAACCAATGTCCGACGATTGTTTAACACCTGCCAAAGACCCTTGCAGACTAAGACCTCTAAGGATCCTCAAATTAATTTTTCAATTTTTTACAGTTTTTTTTTTTTTTAATTAACTCACGATATGTATTTTTTTTTTAATACTTGCTGCTGATAATCTAAAGGTGGGATTCACATTTGTAAACACAGACATTTTGTATACTTCGGCCAATTTCTTCCTAGTTTTCCTGGTATCACACCATGAAACGTTACGCAAACCTCAAAGATTGATAGTCGCCAATTTTCTTTTCCTTCTTGAGACTACAATCTGATGATCACACAGACAATTAGAAAAAAAAGTTAAGATTAGAGTCCTACTGACCTCTTTTCCTTATGGTGTATTGCTGGTTGTCACTTCCCAGAAGATTTACAGCGACGCAATAGAAATGTTCCCCTATTGCACTGACTGCAACCTTCAATACACTGGTGTCTCTCTCCTTTGTGATGCTTTTCACTTTTTCATCGTTCAATGAGCTCAGATCTTGTCCATTAAGTTGACGTTTCCATGACAACGACGGTGGAGGTTTGCCGCTGACGATACAAGTTAAATCGACTTGCTCGCCTTCATCACCAGGTATTTGGGTGCTTGTAGGGGTGGATGTGACAATGATCGGACGTGCTGTTAGAAAGAAGTTATTCTCTAGTTTATTTAAACTGTGTAAAGCATTTTTCTGATTGATCAATTTTTTTCTGCTTTCTGGTGATTTACAATCAATTTTCGCAACTATGCGACCTTTGAGGGTTTTTTGGACAAACAATATTTTAGCCTGCACACTCGCTTCTTTGCCGAAAGTAAGTTAGAAGCGTTGAGCAACGCAAGAAGGCCAGCGGTCTGCAAGGCATCTGGCAAACCACTTACAGGCCTGTTACCGGCTAGCGTTGCCCAAAGCATCAAACTTATTTGCAGGCGAAAAACCGGCTCCTACTGCAGAACCAATGACGAAAGCCTGCTCGCCGGCTAATAATTTCACTGAAATTGGTTTCCCTAGTTTCAAACACAAGACACTGTTAACCGGATTTAATGATACATCAACTGCTGCCAAAGATCACATACCCAAGTTCTACATGGAAACACCATCAAAACATCTAACGAGCAAGAGAACTTACTCTGAACATTAAGAGTGATTTCTTTCCAATCCTCGCCAAGTTCATTTTTAGCCACACATCTGTAGGTTCCATCATTTTTGCCACTTGTGTTGCGTATGATGCATTGCTCACCCGAGCAATCTAATTCATCACCTCCTATCTTTTTCCAGGTAATTGTTGGCTGTGGCACTCCCTTTGCACGACATGTCATTGTAACATTGTTTGTTTCATTAACTGTGAATGCACTTTGATAGGAAGTGATTGTTGGTGGATCTTTTGTAAAACAACAACAAAATAAGAAAGATAAGTGACAAATAAAAATTACCACTGGTGATGGGGCTATTAAAACAATTTTCCATGAAGTGCGCAAGAAATCAGAGATTGCTTTGCTTTTGCTTTAACTTGCTTTGTGATTGGTACAGAAAAACTCGTGCCACTCTCTGAACCAATCAGATACAACACCAAAACCAATCACGAATTGGTCACCCACGTTTTCCCGCGCTTTAGGCGGTTTGGTTATTTTTAGTTCTTATTGGCATTCAAGCCATGAACTCTTATTAAAAGTTCTCATTAGTAATTCTCCTTACTGTCTGCTGTGCAATTCTTATGATCTTAGTTGAGAGAATTCGGTACTGGATCAACTAAAACTCCCCTGATTGATATTTTTCTCTATTCTCATCATTTGTCTGCTTGATATTGTGTTGATATTGTAAGGAGATATTCTGTCTTGATCACTCATGGGAGTAAAACGGTGAAAGGTATTTTCCTTACTTCTGATTGGCCATTGAAATTACTATGGTTTAGGTTTTGCAACACGCAATTGAAAAGCACTCTAAAAAAATAAATACAACTTACGCTTAATAAGTAATTGTGCTCTGGCAGGAGGTCCTTCTCCTAGAGAGTTGGTTCCAGTACAGGAATACCATCCTGCATCAGCCTGAGTCACTGAAGCCTTTGTGAAAGTTGTTGTTACGCAGGCACTGCAACTTTCTCCAGGTATGTCAACTCCATTGAACTGCCACTTTTGTGAAAGGGTGGGCGGATTGCCGATGGTTTTACAAGAGAAGGTTGCTTCTTGTCCCTCAGACAGTGTGAGGTTTTTCGGATGATCAGCATCAGACTGAACAACTGGTCGATCTGAAGATTTAAAAAAACATCATTGAAACTCTATCTCAAAAGTAAATTGATGAAATAGTCTGATACACAAAGAAAAATGCCGAGGTTACTTAATTTCACACATCAGTGACCCAAATTAAATTGGCAATGAGTAATAATCAAAGTGGATCTAGCACAAATCACTGTCAAATTCAAACGAAAATTAGACAGCTACACAAAGCAGGGGCATAAAATTTGGATTTAGCACTCTGTCAATACCAACATTACAAGTTAGACCCTGGAATGTGATTGAGTCATGTGGCCCATTTAGTTAGAGCTTCTCCCAGTTCTGTAACATGATGCAGCTCACAAAATTGTCCCTCCCCCTAATTGAGATGCTATTCCAACTCAAGATCACCCCCTGCATTTCATTGGGCTTCCCACTGATACTCATTTATACTCTTGGATAGAAAGAGGATCTGCAAGAGTAAAGTGTCCTGCCTAAGAACACAACATAGTGACCCATGTCAGGCTCAAGCCAGGAGCTTTTGAGGCAGATTCCAGAGAGTTGACTGTAAGGCCATTGCACATGTCACCTACTTCTATAAGGGCAAGCATGTACTAACAGTATTAAAAAGAATTGGGAAATACTCTGACTTCTAAAAGCATAATTCACAGAGTGATAGCAAAGCTGTTAATTAAAAAAAGGTATTGTTAAATAATTTAAGAAAATGAAGTACAGTATCAGTGTCTCAGTTGAACATCAACATGATCACAAGTCAATCACATTAAAAAAACATATCCGAACAACCCTTGAAGAATCAACAATTTTGCAACCGGTCTATAAGAGTTTTAATTTAACACTGTCATGTAATGTACACATACAGTGATTTTACTGTGCTAATTGCCCTCAATTATACGAATAAGGTGCAAACTGAAAAAAACAAAAACAAAAAAAACAAAAAACAAAAAAAACCACAAGAAAACAGAGAGAAGAGACAGGACTAAGTTCTGTCCACCTTTGTCTGCAACAACTGTAACAGAGATTGCCGAGTTGGAATTGGGTTCTGAGGCCATACATAGCATTGCATTAAGACCAAACTCAGCATTTTCCATGATCTTACAAGAAAAAGAGGATGGTTGCTATCCTAACAAAAATCCCTATTCATTTGATCAAATACTTACAGCGCACTTCAAGATCTGTGGTTTGCCTCCTCTGACCAGCACTGTTGAAAGCCACACAAGAGAAAGTCCCATTCTGCTGCCAGGTTACTTTATCAATAGTCAGATAAGAAAGAGTTCTCAAAAGTTTAGAATTTTGAACTGGTGCAACTTCAGTTGTGATATTGTACGGTGTGCCAGTCAGATTTTTTTCACCCAGCTTCCAAACAATTTGAGCATAAGGTTTGGCTTGAACTGTGCATGGGTAGTTCACCGTTTCATTTTCAGTCTTTGTTTGTTTGTTTGGCAAATTACTCTGGAATGAAGGTGGCACTGTAAAATAAAGACAGGCAAAATGTGTTAATTAAATTAATTT